AATGATATTCATGGAATGTAGATAAGCCATACCAGCGGCGATATCTTTGGCGAACGACGTTCGCTGTTCCCATGGCAAGGTCTCGTTTGTGTTGTGCAGCAGAGCTCTCAGAGTTCCACCTGATATGTATTCGGTGACCAAGTGTAGCTTTTTATCTTTGTAGAGAACGCCGATGAATCGGAGGACATTGTTATGGTGTAACGAACGTAACACGGCAACCTGTTAGATTAGTGCAAAAGAAAATGACAGGCCCGAATACACGCTGAGATAATCTTTTCGTCCGATTGTGAGATAAAATATGGATTTAGTTTACACCACACTTATTAGAAGACGCGTTGCTTAAATTAAATATTCGTAACTAGCTGTATTAGAATAACGTTGAACCAATAACTCACCTCTTTCAAAAAATTCTTTTGGGCTTCTTCGTCCACTCTGTACAACTCCTTTAGCACCATGACTTCGTTGGTATCCCTGTGCGTGACTTTGAACACTTGCCCGAAGAATCCTGTACCCAGGAGTTCACCCTTCACTAGATCACTAGCACGGAATATCCTTTGATTCTTTGGCTCAACTCGAAAGGATCTAGTCCTGCTCAGGTCACATGTAGCATTTGTCGGGGCAGATCTGTAAGCATTACAGTAGTAGCATGTAGTAAAACAGAAATTCAAGCTTTGCTATTAAAAAAGAATTCGATTGAATATGTACCCGTCAAGCAGTCGCGACATGGAACTGCTACGCTCTTTGTGCAAAGGATCTCTCGTTCTTCGCAATTGTCTGCTTCGAGTACCACTGATATACCCTTCGTCTCGACGTTTGAACAATCGTTCCTTGTTTTCCGGGCTTGTTCTTGGGCTCCCAATCGATGTCAACATCGCCGCGGACGGCGAGGAATACGTTGGTCGTCGCGACACTGCATCGGGATCATGCTCGATGGTCAACTGAAAGATTGATTGCATTTGTTTCTGTATTGCATTCAATCATTTCACATAGTGCATAAACAAATTGTTTTATAGAGTATAGAATTACCTGCAGAACTGTATCCGAATATTGTATAAGATTTTCAATATTCTCTATAGGCTGATCCTTGACTGGTGTGCCGTTCACTTCAAGTATTCGATCGCCAATGTGTAAAGATATGAGATCACTGGACATGTTCAGTCTGTAATACGTTTCGTGTGACATTTCCATCGTTCGTAAATATTATTCACAAGAGTACATGCAAACCTTTGCGTGCATTTAAATTAACGTTGCATTAAATATTACATGTATGTACAGTAGTGATAAGAAGAAGAATAGTAACCAAATAAGCTAATGTTGCGCTTGCAATCTTATATATTTCGTACACTATTAAACTCACATAAATTACGAGGCATAACACGTACAAAGCACGATACGTAAGACTTTGCTTATTAAACCCGGATAAAGGTAAAAATAAATAACCATTCGGGATGACTGAAAACCTAGATGCATTGTAAATTCTATAGAAAATTAAAGAAATATGGTACAAGTACACGATGCATAACGATGGAAGAAAATTGAATTTTCTATTTCTTGAATACTTTTTAAGATTATACGAAAAAATGTTATGTTGCATTGTATATTAATAATATAATTCTTAAATAATTGTCGCGTTGTCCTAAATATATTACATGCTTACAAAATTACACAGCACATATTATTAAATGAACAAATAATATTACACAATGGGACACCTATTTTGCACAAGATAAATAATTTGCGTGCAGTTAAATAGCAAATACTAAAGAACACACATCTAATTCAGGGAAACACAATATCTAGTGCATATTATTTATTTGTTATGCTGTACCTATGATTAGAGAAGTGGCAGCATAGCCTAAATAGGACCTCCATCACAGAGGCCAGCAGCTTACTGATCTTTCCACGAACATTTCTCATTAACCTGCGTTTTAGTTTAAAGTTATTAGAGGCTGCGTATGTGTACCGGTTCTTACATAACCACAGAATTATTCATGCACGGTTAAATGTTTTAGAAAAGCTTTATTAAATATAATTTGGCGAAGTACAAAAGTGTCGGTTTCTTTAAGAAAAATGGAAATTTTCGCGCGTCCGTTTCAAAATCTATCGATCATTTTATTATTGTACGTGTTATTTTCAATAACTGAAATTTGCTTTCCAGAGATTCGTATAATTTTTCCAATGCAAATTTGCAGAAGCAATCAATCTTTTTAACAAATTCTTACAAAAAAAACTAAATGTAAAAAGAAAAAGTATAGCACAAGAATGTATAAATATATTGTATATATTTTATATACATACTCAGATATACGTAGCAAAGCACCACAATTTCGAGGACTAGGAGTCGAGTCTATTGTCAGTTTGATTCCTCTTTGTTTCTCGGGATCGGAAGGGTTCGGCGGTATTTCCACCAATCTGATGCTATGCGGCTTTCTAGCGAACGGATAATTAGCTGTCCTGTTGATTGGCTGCATCTGCCTTTTATAACAACACCCGCAATAGAGTTTGGACCTCTCGACTAGGGCATAACTTTCCCCATCCCCGATGAAAGCTCCGCAAGAGTTACAGGCAAAACATTCTGGGTGAAATTTGTGATCGCCTGCCAGCATGACAGGGCCCGTGATGATATGGCCACAGCCTTGGCAGGCTTCCCCATAAGCAGCCCAATAGTCATCCTTACAAAAAAGTAAGCCATCTTTCTCAAAGTACCACGAGGAGAGACCGATATCGCATGCAGAGCACCTGAAAGATACATTTCATCCATTATAGGAGTGTTCCATAAAAATTATCTTTGTACTATGTTTACATGGATTGATGTATTGTAGTAGGTTTCTTACTTACCGGAAACAATCGATATGCCATTCTTGGTTTAGTGCCTGTATGAATTCGTCCTCGTCGATGGCATTGAGGCAACCTGCACACGTTATTGTCCCTCCACTGTCCCCACTTCTGTGCTCTAAGGTGCATGAAACACAAAATACCATTTGACAGTTATAGATTTAAAAAAAGAAATCCCAAAAGAGAATTTTGCTTGATTCGTCCACTCTAGGTTTGTGTACGTTTTTTCTCTGACACCTTTCGTTACGTCTATTTACCTACGCCTGAACAGACGTATTTTTTTTCACGATATTCGCGGAACGTTCAACGTGCGTTGGACGCATAATACAGCGTTGAATTTCGAATACGTCGAATCGGTAGCAGCTAGGAAAACAAATACGTCGCGTTCGTGTGAAAAACGGAGCGCGTCAGGGACGTGCAGTAGGAAGTAAACGTGATTCACGGTTGACGTTAGGTAAGCGTTGGAGAAAGCAGTTATCAACCAGCTGACGACAAATTGGACGGTTCTAAGGCGATCGAGGCTTGTCAATTGAAGAAACGTATCGCTGGGATCGCCAATGGTCTCCCAAAACGTTGTACAATTGAAAAATACGCGTTGTACAACTGAGAAATTGAAATGAAAGGAACGCGTAAATAAAGTCTGGAGAAGAGCGTGGGCCAGGAGACTTGGAAGGCAGGACGCCCACGCGATTTTCAGACCGTCAACCGTACACGCGAAATCGTCGATCAATCGTTCTGTCTTACGCGACCCTTGAAACGTTACACGTTCTACATCGTGAATTCAGTTTACTCATTGGAAAATAACGTTGAACTTTGTCGAAAAAGACGTACCCTTTGACGAAACTTCATCCATCACAGCATCTAGGCTGACACACTCCCACTCCGCGTCTCGGCCACTGAGTATAGAGCGACCAGACTCGAAATCCATTGTCGCTGCGGTGCGCTGAACGCAACTGCGGGAAATTTGAATTTTGTTTGAATAGTTCCACAAAAAATTACCACAGTGGGACAAAACGGCTCTCGGCGACCAAAAATCTGTAACTTTGGTTCTCTTGAAAATATTTTAATGAAATTTTAGGAAGTTATTCCCTATACTATGATACTTAAATTGTATTAGTATAAATCAATTTGAGCTACAGGGTGTCCAAATATTCACGTATAAAGTGCAACGCGTTCAATATCTTTCACTTGTTTGACATATTTATTGTTCCTTAACCAAAATTCGACTCAAACCTGTTATTAACTATGAGAGAAACGTATTTAATAATTTAAAAATGACAGGATGTACGTAATAATCAGAAGTTCGAGCTCCTTTTAGTACGATCACCAATTTTTTGAAATGGGGCACCTATGGGCACCTGATCTTCGCAGAATCTGATAGAGGATGGTTCACCCTTTCCTGTGATAGCAATTGAACCTCAGCCAAGTGCGGTCAATTTTTTATAACCATGCGTAAAGTTACAATTTTACTTAAATGTACTTCTCATTTGAATATCGTCTTTCTGAGCAATGTTTTTTAGAATCGTATGTTGAAGTTAGGAGTAATATCGTAAGCGTTTTGCTTGGACGAATTTCTACTGCCTATGAATGCGCACCACAGCAAAACGGATTGCACAACATTAAACAGCAATTTATCCTCTATCGATGTACATAAACAGTTTTTCCATTTTTCGAATTCACGAAAATCGAGTTTCGTCCCACAATGGTAAACGCGAAAGAAAAATTTTACTTTGGGACGCGTAGATAAACGATTCGCTCGTCAAGAGGTAGATATTTATTCTCAGAATATTTGGTCTTTGTTTTAAATTAGTTTATCTTGAATACAATTCATGTTTAGAACTTCTCAGATTTTTTCTAAAGAAAATATTAAAATAGTAGCATCAACATGCGAACAAAGCGCACACATGTTGTTTGATGTGTACTATACACAAGTTTCTAACTGATAAAGGTAAATATGTTTATTAAAAATCGTGCAAAGTTGATAACTTTTCGCGCTACTTCAGCGACGGAATATAATTATATTTGTAGCGTAAATCTGACAAATACTAAATTGAGATATGTATAAATAATTTAACGTAAACATCGTTACATGGATTAATAAACATTCGGAACGTTATCATAAGCTATCGTATAGATCTATAAATATATACATCCACATTCGTTGATACAGTGTAACATCGATGATCCACTTTATTGTATGATAAATGCTTAAATACAATTTTTTTGAAAGAACTCAGATTTCCATTAAAAATTTAATTATCGGTTTAATTTATAACGAATCAACGAGGTTCCACCGTATCATCGAAGTTGTTCAAAGGTCGTTAGGAAATAAAATGTCACCGAGGTATTTCTGAAATCAGCGTGACGCACTTAATCGATTGCACGTTTCCCGGCTAACCTTTTCGTGGTCATTAACAATTCTGGACATCGTCCTCGGTCGATCTTTTCTGGTCTCATCGATTATTTGAACGCGTGGGTCACAAATAATGAACGGACGGTTGCTCGTACTTATTTCTGCGAGTAAGCCTACAACAAGCTTACATCTAAGCAGTTTAAATCACAGTAGAGATTGCGCAGGATCGAAGCCATTGATTCTTCGTACTCTAGTATTATTTTGAACAGTATTTGAATCACTACATTAACCTGGGCAAATCTAATTTGCATAAAATTCGTAGACTTCTTTGAATGTACTTATTCAAAAGCCAAAGCTATCAAAGAGAATAGAAAATCGTTAACCTTGAGGAATTCATTGGTACTTCCTTTACCAAAATGATACAAAAGTAATCCCTTTACATTCTTATCTGGTTAGATCTATTTTTCGTTACTTCTGCATCAATTTAGCAAAGTATCTTAATCTAAAGAAGATCGTCCCCATGTTGTACGCCATTATGCAATTGCGTGACAAAAAAGGCGACGGATGATATGCAAGAAATGCGAACCTTGTTAATCCTTCGTTCATTACGCTCGAGTAATAATTGTTCGATAATCGTCGTAGACCATTCTTTTTTACCAAGAACCTTTGTTCTCGTTATAAATAATCTTACGATTGATATAATCTTATTAGCGTAATGTCGAAAGGTTAATCATCTATGATAGTACTTGGAAAGTCGCATACACGTTAAAGAGTAATATTGAGCAGAATTTAATTGTAAAATCGTATCACCGATTCGCACGCATTCGGTTGAATTTATAGAAATTTGAGATGCATTGACCTCTTGGAGGCCAAGATTTGAAGGCTCAGCACGTCCCGTATACTGAGATCTCCTAATCATGTTTGTTATACATATGTCTTCAGTACTCGAAGAGTAAACGATCTCACAATTTCCCGCGAGAAAAGGCTGCGCTCGAAATTGCGGGGCAACTGCCGAAAGTTTTATTTTAAAAATATTTCGTTCGTTGCCCAACCCGAGTATTACTTTCAAGGGCTACGCGAAAAAAAGGACAAATTTATGTGACAACACATGTTGGCCTCGACGAGTGCATTTGTTGCACTGTACACTGCAAGGTCGACAGGCGACGCGCAACGAACGCTGCGTTGTTACATTTACATAGCCGTTTCTCGGTTTCGAACTGACCATTTTGACCGTTAGTTTCTTTCGTTGCCTTGGAATTTGTTTACCAGCATACAGAGGCTGAAATTAAAGCGCACGAGTGCAACGGTGTCTCGTGTTTTGCTTGTTCCACCAATCACCTTACCGTAGGACTCTCAAGAAACGGCAGTAAATATGAACTTTCAATTTTATAATTCCAAATTTTGAAAGAGCAAAGTATACCACCAATACGAGTAAGGAAATTAGTTCCAGAAGCCAGTGGTGTCTTTCGTTTCGGTAAATCCGAGTATTTGGTGGTTCTAAGTGGATGCAAATTTAGTTGGCTGCTCAAGGCTACAGGGCAGCCATCCCCACCACACCGTTTGACTCTCCCCACCCCTCTGTCTCGGTACTAAACATGTCCGGCGTATGCGGATAAGGAAACCATTAATGTCAATTTATGAAATATTTATCTACGTACGTTTCACTTGTGTTTTTCGTATTAGCATACGCTATAAAAGCATACGATGTACAGTCGTTGTAATCACCTCAAACAGTTAACTAAATTTGCATTGACTGATTTCGAGACCACGAGTTTGACGTTCTAATTTTCAATTAAACGCTTCAATAGGAAAGCTCTTTGTTTCTCAATACCATGTGTAGTATTAACGATGAATAACCGCGAGTTCGGTTCTCAGACGGACTCCCACCGAAAGAAAGACACAGGTAATTATCGCGCGTGCAATTATCTCGCTCATTGAGACTCTGTTAACTGACACCGCTTCAGAGGGTGTCAGGTCCGCTCTTCTTGCGTTTTCGTAATAGCTAGTTGATGTTCAGTGGCATCAGTGGCACGTATTTCTCGCTGGGGCGGAAGTGAAACTGCGAGCACAACTGGTTGGACACGGATTCCTCGTAGCCGACTCTGTAACAGATCGAAAGCATAGCGATTAGACGACGAATCCAACGAGTAAATCACGAGCAATATCGTTCGAAGAAGCGTTGGGAATCCCCTACACCTTGCGGACCCAAAAGAAATCTGCATGAAAATACCGCCACCATACGGACCCACAAACAATTTGTATAAAATTACAATTCACTGGTTCAAACCACGCCTAGAAGATACTCGTGTTTCCGTATCAGGATCTCGCCCATAACCTTGAACATCGTCTTCAGGAAGTGTACCTTCCTGGCATAATTGTCTCGTTGGGACTCTGCGATCTCGTACTTCGGCGACTGCTCCCAGTACAAAGGGCAACTGAAGAGATTCGATGAGGAAATGGTTAGAATTAAAACCTACAGCAGGGATGGCCAACTAATCAAGTTGGACAAATTCGATTTGGAAGAGTCGACGTGCTTTTACTTGGATATACACGGTCTGTCTAAAAAGAAACTGAACTTTTGCTATAAAAAGAAAAAAGTACAAGTAAAGTTTTTACACACACGTTTATTTACTCAAAATAATCTCCCTCTGCGTCAATACAGCGTATAGACCGCGTAATTAACATTTCGAAGGACCTTTGCAGCTCCTGTTTTGGTAACCCGTTTAGTACGGCGGTTACAGCGGCCTGAATCTCCGAAATGTTGCTATAACGTGTCCCTTTCATTGGAATTTTCAATTTCGGGAAAAGAAAATAATCGCATGGAGACAGATCAGGCGAGTAGGGTGAATGATCCAAGGTAGCAACGCCAATTCCAATGAAAGGGACACATTATAGCAACATTTCGGAGATTCAGGCTGCTGTAACCGCTGTACTAAACGGGCTACCAAAACAGGAGCTGCAAAGGTCCTTCGAAATGTTAATTACGCGGTCTACACGCTGTATTGACGCAGAGGGAGATTATTTTGAGTAAATAAACGTGCGTGTAAAAACTTTACTTGTACTTTTTTCTTTTTATAGCAAAAGTTCGGTTTCTTTTTAGACATACCGTGTACTTCAAATCTTTTGGTTAAACTTTCCTTTAGATTTCGGCGAGTAGAGTCCGAAAATGCTAGTTCGAATTAAGGAGCGGAGCCTACCTCTGCCATTGAGAGCACGGGCGTCGCTCCTTGAAGCAAGCCACTTGGATAACGTTGAAGAAGAGGGCACCGAGGGTGTTGGCGACTTCCGTATTAAGATTCTGCAGGCATCTACGGAACTTCGCGTCGCAGTCGCAATGAGATCGAGTGAAGGGTGACCGGTTGCATATGCCGGGCATACACTCCTTAGGCTCTATCGTGATGGGACAATGATCGTGTTCCCTGCAGCAGGCATCTTCCAATCGGTGTTGACCGAGGTCGTCGTAGGACGTTGCCAGGTTGCCAGGTCCGCACCATTTTGTGCCAGGGTATATCAGGCCTCCACCTGGTTTTTGGTTCTGATAAAGTAAATTTTCATGTAGTTTTGGGGTTGTCCAAGAATAATAACTGCAAATGAAACAAGAATGACGTAATGAAACTGTTATTGGTGAGATGGTTGCCGGGTCTGCACCATTTGGTGCCAGGGTATATCAGGCCTCC